CAACATGCTTAAAACCCATTTATCCTATTAAAGAGATTTAAAACTTGCCTCCTTTCATGAAATGCCAGTGATTCTTGATTTATGATTTGGTCATGCTTTAAAAATAAAAGCAATTACCTCTCTTACTATGGTAAAAGCCCACTGCCTCAAGGTTGCCACAATGCATCTGTAATCAGACAGCAACAGCTCTAACCTTCAGCTGGGGTGACGAAAGCAGCGGCTATTAAAATACTGCCTGTGACGGAGTCTGCGCGGCAGGGCGGCACCTCAGGCGTCTCTGGATCTGATGCGCTGGGTGTTTCCTGGCAGGGGCGATACTTTCTGTTTATGTATCCTAACACTTTTAAGAAACAAAAAAACCCCACCTTACTCTACTGCAATTTAAATTTTAAAACACCTAACTCTGCTGGTAATTTCCTTGCAAGAGCCAAGATCTTCTGTTTGAATGTTTTGCCCTTAAAACCTGCCTGCATGAATTTCATTTCAAAGGGATTTTCTCTGAGCGTTCCTAGAAATGTGACAACTCTATGATGCATGATACACTTGGGTGTTGCATCATTTTGGGAATCCAGCTGGCTTCTGAAACACAGCCAAAAAAAGGCTAAACCAGGCAACATTTTGTCCCAGCAAGGATCCCAGAGGCAGTCTCTTTAGGAAAAATGACCAATCACATATTCGTCCCAACTATGCTGTAAATATTCTGTAAATATAGACATTACATACGCTGTAAATACGTGCACTGTGATTCAGGCAAATGAGATGTGAACCATTTTAGTTGTATGTGTGCGATGCTGTGCCCAGACTGGTTAGTTCACAGCAAAACCAATGTGTTTGGGCATCACCAAGATCTGAATGTTCCCTGAAAGCATCATCGTGATGAAAACAACACATACAAAATGATAACAACTTTTCTTATGCAACTATAAACAACAAAAAAACCCTCATACACACCAGGGCATACACTCATAGGAACAAGGAATTTATTCCCTTGCTTCTCAGGATAGCAGGGACTCAAACGGGCAAAATCTGGAGATTCTCTAATATTCGTGTGTATCTCCTAAGTGCTCATTAAATTAGAAAAAGTGACTATTCCCTTTGTCCCCACCGCTGTTTTGGCCTCTATTAGTGAAAAATGGGCTTTAAGATCACGACATGTATTTGATGCTATAGTGGTAGCTTTGGCTTGAGAAACAGAGTTGCATAAACATTACCAAGAGAGCCAGCATAAAACGGCCCGATGCAGGAGGGTCTGCCCAACCTTCTACAGAGCTTAAAAGCAGTTTTAGGATTAATCCCTGTCCCCACATGATTCCACAACCTTCAGTAAGACTGAACTCCCCATTCTTCTACACCACTGGTTTTATCCAACCCAAAACTCAGTGTCAGAGCTCTCATTTGAACACACTAAGCTTTCACAGCCCTTTTCCTTACCTCCAGCCGCATGGACAGTCCCACACGTGAAGACCTCTTGAAATGCAGAGATGGTCCTTCAGCAGGTAGCCAACAAAACTTCCCCACCATGGCTTTCCGCCACGGCCAGCCAGTGGCATAACCACAAAAACACCTGGTATCTTACTTCTATCCCACAGCTTGCAATGCTAGAAGCATGCATTAGATATGGCTGTCATCATGGGCCCCATGAAGAGAGCAAATAGATCCAGAATAAAAGGAGTTATAAAACTGCATGACTTTATAATCACTTTTTGCCTCATGAAAGCTACATATCTGAAGATCAATTGTTCACATGAAGCAAGAACAGATGTCAGCCAGAGTAATAAATGCAGAGTAGGAGAGTGGGAGCCCCAGGACACAAGCCAGGGATCTGCCTGGTAAAAAGCATCCGACAGCATTTACTTCTTGGTCATGACCTGCATTTCAGAGGCATGTGTATAAAACCTACTCTTTAATCATGATTTCTGCAGCATACAACCCATTTTAAACTATACATGTTTATGTTTTTAGTATATACACATCTGATTAGTGTGGGGCATTAAGTGACATCTTATAGTATTATTTATTAGCCCTTTTTTAGCACTACAGCCAATTTCTTCAATTTGTCGGGTGTCTTCTTTCATGCCATATGCTTTTTTTTTAGAAATATTGTCTCTGAAAATAGAGTCAAATCATGGTGGTTAATTTGGGTTTTTTAATACATCAGTTTCTGCTGCTAAAACCAAGTATCCTCTTTTCCCACCACTAAAATACCTTCGTATTAGTTCAGCCTTTATAGTAAGTGAGGGAGCGTAGCACCTAGACATTGGTCCTTGAAAGCACAAGCTAGCATCGGCATTAACATCCACAAGGGCGTGCTGGCCACAGACACCCACAATTTATTCTGCTGTTCTCCCAGCCTCACAGTTTGGGGAATTTGCAATGCAAGCCATTAGCAGAAGAAATTTACCTCCAATACTACAGCCCATTAAGTGACACATAATTCAGTAACGCGTTAAACAGAATTATCTTTAAAACAAAGATCCCTGTAGGAACAAAACAATAACAATCTTTGATACCGCAATTATTTGACACTTGCTAAAACATCTTTGTAGTTAGGCAAAGAGATGTAAAATGACTATTTAGAACACAAATTTCCTGGGAGATAAAAGTAAAAAAAAAAAAAAAAAAAAAAAAAAAAAAAAAAATCACGTCTTCCATGTGGATGCCCAATTTAATAGGTCTGCAACGTGCAAGATAATATTCCTCTGAAGAAAACGAAAGGGAGGAAAAAAAATTATATTTTATAACCACAGCCAAATAACAAAGCAACAATTAAAGATTGTTATGAAGATTGCTATGCAAAACAGCTATCTGGCTACGGAGAGGAGTTTTCATTGTAGAATACGTAATGTGCCTGAAGGCAAAATTCCAGCCCATCTAAGTTACGCCTAAATTGGGTGTTAAGAGAAAAACAAGCAAGTCCATACAAGATAGAGACGGAGATAAGCTGACTGGCAGCAAGTTCCCTCTACCCTAAAGGTAGCTAAAATTCCGTTGCCACCCAACATGCCGCCAGCTCTGCATCCCACAGCACCGCCATTCCTTCTGGCTCACCATCTGTCTGGGCCATTTGGGATCATGTCCTGTCCAAAGCAAGGCACCGGCTGCCCTCCTGCCCCTTTTCCCTGGAGAAGGTCCCACCACCTTCCTCCTTGGTGCTCTCCCACTGTGGGAACAAGGGCAGCCCGGGAAGGGAGGGACTGTAGCACCAGTCCCCAAAAAAGCACAAAGCATCAGATGAGACAGAAGAAGTCACAACAATCCAGTTACTAAATGTTCTTTTTCTTTATTATGCAATTCGCTGACAAATAAAAAATTTGGGAAACAGATACAGGAAGAAATGGGCAGAGAGACAGAAATAGTCCCAGATTTTTTTTGAGTGAAAAACATTTTAGTCACACTTTCTTGAAGGAAAGCGTAAGTCTGTGATCAGGGGACCGATATAAACCCACAGAGATAAGCCTCAGTAACAAAAGCAGTAAACACAACAATATGTACAGGACAGAAGGATTTCCACACTGGGGCACAAATTAAAAGTGGGCCAAACCTGCCGAGCTGCCTCTGCACATTTACAGAAGTCTTGCATTAACGTAAAAGATGCAGGAGGAGAAATAATACAGATGCAAATTAAATCATTATTTTGTTCAGCTGACTGCAAGAGTATGTCACATGAGCAGGATTATGACAGAAGACTAGGATTTGTTCAGAAAGAACAGGAAAAAAGCACATTATGCTTAAAGCCCAGAACATAATGATTTTCAATTTTCTAACATCTGAAAAGAAATGGATCTTGCCAAAGCAAGGCACACGACAGCTGACCAAGCCAGGGAACGCAGGGGGATGAGGCTTTTTCCAAAGATCACAGCTTTTCAAAGGCAGATGATGTGACAGGCAATGCAAAAAGAGGGTGGGGTAGGAAAATGTAGGCGTGCTGCCCAACCTCTGGGCGTTGGCGAGGGGTTTATGGGAGGGTGCAGGGACAACCAGCAGCAGGGAGGGCACCTGACACTCCTAGAACTAATTCAGGCAAGGGGAGCAACCAAAACTTATCAGAAGATGGACACTAGACTCCAGTAAAACCAACCTGAAGACTGACTGATCTTAGAGGAGTGAGCACAAACTCTCCCAAAGCAGAGGGGTAAACAGGAGGGTGCCAGGAGAAACAGGCAAAATCACGAGTTCTTTGCAAACCCAGAACCGAGCAAGGAATCGTACAAAAAGCAGAAGTGCAATCAGAGTTTAGTAACGATTAAAGCAACACAAGCATATACACGCAAAGCACAGAATGACCAAGGCAGTGATACCAAATTATTAGCCAATGTACTCCCTATTACTTTTTGTGATGCTGTGGGAAGGAGATGATTTGTTTCTTTGTGAAGGTCTTGATCTGTCTTCGTTCTTTTTTTCCCCGCCCACAACTAATTTACCTTGCTTGGTCTAGAAAAAGGACACTTTATAAACATCACAATTATACTTCACAAAACTTGGGGGAAAAATAGGTCAATCATTCCTCAGGTCCAACAGCAACAGACACAAAATAAACCCTGTATTGGGCTGAAGCTGCCCTGAGAAAGATTTGCATTAGACTCTTCTAAATCTTTACAATAATATGAATATATGCAGCTTCATAGAATGTTTAAGGAGGCTGTCAGCTCCCAAGGGTCTTTTGTTTTCTGTTAAAAAACAGATTAGCTATCCGTGTGTTGGTGGTGCCTCTTGAAGCAGACAAGAACTGTGTAACCTTGGGAGATACATTATACAGAAGCCAGGATATAAAGATATCACGGATAAACTGAACTTCCTCCAAAAATGCCCCATCTGGGGATAGCTTTCTACTCCTGCTTATTCACCACTTCTCCTGAACATTACTCTTAACACAAAGGTTAACCTGTATTTGCAAGGCAGTGCAAATGCAATTTAACAAAGACAGTACAATAAATAGCAGTGCCCTAAAATAGAGTTTTTCCCAGTTATCCTATCAAGTAAGACAAACGCTGATGGATACCTCAAAGATTCTTGCTCTCAGCTCCTGATGTTCTCAGAGCCCTTGGGACAGACTCAGTACTCGGCTTTTTACTAACGAAAAAGTCATAGAACCAGAGAGGCAAGTAGCAGAAGGCGCAGAGGGCCACATAAGCCCCTTTGCCAGGGTTGTACAAGCCGTGTGGTCTCTTGGCCAGCAAAGCGTGCAGGATAGCGCTCAGCACGGGGGAGAGGTCAGCGTCGCAGTACGCGGCCACGTGCAGGAGGTAGCTCTTCAGCCCCAGCAGGTAGTCCTCACCATAGTCTCGTCTTGTGTCTGCTGGGAGGTTCTCCATCAGCTCCTTTTCTTGCTTATCCCACAGCTCAGGTGTGCCTAGTATACCTGCAGCAGCAACATCACAGCATAGCAAGTGGGTTTGGGGCTGGATTTAAAAAAAATGTCATCTATAATTAATAGCCAATAAGTTGTTCACCACCACCACCACCACCGTTATTCACAGTTGTTCTAAACTGGCTCAGTGAAGAACAGACAGAACAGCTGGTTAGCTGCGAGGGCTTTTACCTGGCAGGGAAGAGAAAGCACAAAGCACAGACTATGTGAAAAGCTTGGAGGTTATACACCGGTTGGTTGTCAACTCTACCTAAAAAGGCACGATTGCAGATCTGTCCACAGGGCCCCTCACCAGGAGCAGAGGCATTCAAGGGCACAGGATTTTATGAAAAAGACCATTTTGCTTTCCATCAACAGAAAAATTGTCTCCTTGAAGTCACCAGGACTTTCTGGGCAGGCAGCAGTAGGATTTGATGTTGTCCTCAGGTAGCTGCCAGGCAGAGCGGGGACCTGTGTGACACCCACCCTGTGGGCACAGGGCGCAGCAGGAGATGAGTCTGTACCCTCAGGGAGGAGGTAGGATTTGGAACAGAAAGCAGCAGGAGCACAGCAGAGGGAAGGAGTGGAGAGGAAAGCTCGGGACTGTGTAAAGTAATATTGACAGCAAGCAAGCAGATGACCGGTATTGCTGCAGTTACTCCAATGCAAGACAGAGCAGCTCGATAAAGAGCTCTGATTGAGAAAGGTAAAAGTGACTGAGTCCCGAAGCTCTCATGCAGGACAAGACAGCTGTAACTCTCAAATCAACCACACAGTAATGCTTGGTTTAACTTCAACAAAAGCTAGAGCAGCGGGAAAGCACCAACCGCCTGAACGCTGCCCTGTCTCAAAGAAAAGAGAGCTCTCCCCTCCACCCAGGAGAAAGGCAAAGGCAGGCTGTGTGCAGAACTGGAGGGAACAGCTCCCCCCCCAAAAAACGTGGATCCTAATTTCCATAACCAATGTGAAGCAAAATGTCAAATACCAACCTGTTCGGAAGCCTGACGGATGAATTGCAGCAACTTTAATTCCCCAATCAGAAAGCTCTTGCCTCATTACTCCAGAAAACATGGACAGGGCTGCTTTTGATGCACCGTATGCAGCATACCTCCGTAGTGGAATGCCTCCTGTAGGAGCAATATAAACATGATAAAGCTCAACGGCAGCTCTTTCCAGCCTTTATTTTCGTGATTTAGAAGGAAGATTACAGCACAACCAAAATTATGCAGCTCTTACTGAGGTTAAAGACAAGTCAGTGAGGGAATAATTTCTTTCTGGAGGTTATAAAAAGTGCAAGCTGTAAATTAGGAGTTACTTACAGCAGTTATGCTCAGTAACACCTGATAAGACACCTCATATAGCAGAAAAAATAAACTGTATTGCATTTACGGGTAAAAACTGCTGAAAATTATGATTGTTGGTTTCAGAAACACAGATAATGTTTTAGTTCATGTAAATAGTAAAGCAATAGTTTAATGCCACTGTTTTTGTTGTCACTGTAACATGCATTTCATGCTCCTAGTATAAACCACAGTTACAACAGGGTAAGTAATCTCAATTCTAGCCTTAAAAAGCCAACTTATCTTGGAGACCTTTCCAGCTAGTTTTGGAAAGACCAGAGACAACAGTGCATGAGTGGGGAAATCCTCTGTGGACAAACCACAGCTGGAATCGACAAGACTCCAAGACCCATTATAGCAGCAGATCCCCTGCCTGAAGTTACATCCCATCTTCTCCAATCCTAGAAGCATTTGTTCAGATGGAAAAGATAGAAGACAGCCAGTATTTTAGGTGAATTTAAAATAAATTGATATGTTTACAAAACAAAAGCTTCCAGAAGGGACTATCTTCCAAATACAGATATTTCCTCTGTTCCAAGATCTCGCAGACTGTTACTTCTTCAGCTTTAGAAAAATCCAAAGACACTTTGATTTGAGCATCTTCCCCTTCAGCCCCACAGGGTTGGTGTTATCACCACACAGAATATCACTGCCAGATCTAGGGGTCCGGGGCACAGTGGGGAGGGGGGAACAGAACAGGCAATCCTTCTCCCTGACCTACGTCACTTCTCCTCCTGCCTGCATATTCTCCAGTACAGCCTCTGTTTCAAACATTACACATTTTTCTGAATGTATTTGAATCTTTTAAAAGAAAATACTTTGATACAGGGGAATTTTCAGGTAAGCCACTGGTGACATTTATTAGGTTTTGTACTGCAATGATCAAGGTATCACAGGAGCTTCTTTACACAGACTCCTTCTTTGAAGAAGTCAAGCCAATTATACATTAATTATTCTTCTGTATGCATCTAAATAAGTTTGAGTTTCAATTGGTTTGAGCCAATTGAATCACATACTCT